TTGAGATCTACCCATATATCAGAAATCAAGCTTGATTAACAAGTAATAGGGCAGGCTCGGCATGCGTTTGCTCAGAAGGAAATCATTCTTATTGGCCTTGTATTTTATTTTATAACCCAAAATTGGAAAGGGAGAGACAAAAAAACAAATCTGAGATTTAATGCACGAAGTTTCCCTCCTTCCTTCCTTGTCTTAGATGTGGCTTTCAGGCTGAAAGCATCTGCTTTCTTGGTGTGTAACTACTAGGAACTTTGATTAAATCCAAATTGGGAACACTGGTTAGAATAAAATACAGACGGAGCTGTTCAGAGTCGTAAATGAAGATCTGGTTTTGTCTTGGAAGCCCTTGTTTAAGATAGCCGCAGATTGTTAGACGCCAAAAAAAAGCCACAGGTCCTTAAAATGGGGAACGGGTGCTAAACTGTGATTTATGTTGTATCTGAAGCAGAATTATTTTGTCTGGAAATGCTTGGATCCCAGTTTTCAAAGCACTCAAAACGAGATTAAAATGAGAATCCCTTTTAAGGCTTTGGGGTATTTTAAAAGGAAACATTTATCAGTTCAATACAACATTGTTTCCTGCACCACAACAGTCCTTCAGTGGTTTCCCGCTGCCATAAAAATCCATAATAAAGCAACCTGATCTTTTGCCCTAGATGCAAATCAAGAAAGAAGTGGGTTCAAATCCTGAAGCCAGCTCAATGCACTGCTTTTTGGGATAAACCGTTTCTTTGCATTCAGACAGAACGCCTTAAGAGAAAGGATGGAAGTTATACCCTACGACAGATAACTGAAAAGGGGTTTAAAATGCTGGTGTGGTTTATTTCATTTTTTGAAACAGGAGGCTGCGCATAATTCATCCCCACTGTGGATTAACCAAGGGTGCCATCTAGCGGCTTTCAGCCCTTACTGGACTTTTACACAATCCACTTTTTTTAATCAATGAGACAGTCCCACGAAATAAATACAAAAAAAGCTTTCATTGATCAGATCCTTTTCCAGAGCTAAAAATAACTCCCATTCCTAGGCCAGCCAGCAACCCACAGTGGCTCAGGAATGCTGGGAGTTGAAGTCCACAGGTTGCTGTAGTTCTCCATGCCCGATTTAAGTCATGGGAAAATGGATGCAGGCTCTCGATAACAGGGGTGGATTTCCAAACTTGGCCACTTTAAGGCTTGTGGACTTCAACTCTAAGAATAGCCTGTTGGGGAATTCTGGGAGTTGAAGTCCATTAAGTCTAGAACCCACCAAGTTTGGAGACCGCATACCACGTTGACTGACAGCTGAACTTGGAATATAATCTCAGAAGGCTTTCTGCAAAGCAATTTAATGACCGTCAAAGGTGAATCCACCATACTTGGTTTAAATGAGAGTGATGTAAGGAGATGCAAGATCCCAAGGGAGGAATATGGAAGAGAGTGGTCAAAAACGTAACGAGAATTGAAATACTAAAAAGGACAAGAGATGATGGATAGATATAGAATACTTCTTAATATAAGATTTGCTTGATTAAGGGTTAGAAAATAGAAGCAGAAGTTAGAAATGTGGAAAATATTACTACCTATTTCGCTATACAATATATTATAATTACCATGTAGACACAAATGATAGAAGCTGAAAGGTTATTATTAGATATACATGAATTGTATTATTGTTTTTAATACTGTCTATAAAGTAAATCGATGATTATTACTATTACTTTAAACTACTATTATTAATCTCAGAATTATTAATTTTTTTGTAAATCCAAAATGACTCAGACAACAATACACTGTTCACCAAGCACCTATGTGTATTTAAAGAAAAAAAACGTATCAATAAAAAACTTTTTTTTAAAAAAAAAGGTGAAACCACCGCTTGGCGGTTCATTTGCAAATTCACGGTAGCCAAAGACGCAAACCCTTTTCTGAATGTTCCTTTCTCTCTTTTCATTAAAGTTGTGAGTCACACACACACACACACACACCCCTTGCTGCCACCTGCAAAACTAGGCTAAGCACCTTGAGGGGTTTAATCTCCCTCCTGGAATCTCAAGCCGTGTCTAATTGAAGGGTGAGAGAAAACAGCCAGAACTTTCCCCTGGTGTGTCCTGCTAGGCAACCGGCCCCTTGTTTTCATAAACAGGTGTCACCTACCTTCCTGCAGCATGGATTTGGACAGCTGAACCGCTTCACCTCCTTGTCCAGGAGAGCCGGGAAGTTGCAAAAGGGACACCTGCAAAACCAGGGAAGATTTGAGTGAGGGCTTGGAAGGGGAAGCTTGTAGAAAGAAAGAAAGAAAGGCGTGAATATGCACCTTCCTTCTCGGTGCAGGGAACCCTTCGACTTACAACTCAGCTGTTCCAAGTTACAACAGCACTGCCAAAAAAAAAACCAAAAAAAGCGGCAAAATGAAGAGCAGCCCTGGGGCTTCACGATGGTTACAGAGTCCGGTCGTTGGATCAGCTCGTTTGTGTGAAACTTCCCAGTTGGCTTCTGAAAAACGAAGCCACAAGGAGGGGAGCCAGACTGCACAATTTCGCTGAACCACCCCCCCCCCCCCCCCCGGATGCTTAGCAGGGAAATTCTGGGCCCCGAGTGAGACCTTGTTAAGCCAGATTTGTGTTAACTCGGCCGTGGGGCTTTCCAAGCTGCAGGTCGCCGTTTTGCAAGGCCCGTTTTTTGCAGCACTCACAGCAATTCCAGAGTTTGCATGTAGCAAAACCGCCGGATTATGCCTCTTTTTTTTAAAATTTTTCTTTTAGCGAAACAGGGAGCCAAGGACCTGTTAAAACCCAGGTTAAATTTCTGCAAGGTTTTAAGGCACTCCACTGCCTCTCCAAAACCTACAAACCCAAAGATCTTCCTCCTCCCTCCTTTCTCCTCTTCCTCCTTCCTCTTCTTCACTCCTCCTCCGTCCAAAACCTACAGACGCAAAGATTTTCCTCCTCCCTTTTTCCTCTTCCTCCTCTTCTGTCCCAAACCTACAGACACAAAGATTTTACTCCTACTCCCTTCTTTCTTCCTCTTCCTCCCTCCAAAACCTAGACCCAAATTTTTCCTCCTTTTCCTTTCTCCTCTTCCTCCTTCCTCTTCTTCCCTCCTCCGTCCAAAACCTACACAGACCCAAAGATTTTCCTCCTCCTCCTCCCTCCTTTCTCCTCTTCCCTCCTCCGTCCAAAACCTACACAAACCCAAAGATTTCCCTCCTCTTCCTCCTCCCCCATCATCATCATCTCTGGGTTATACCCACGTTCCCTGAGGTTAATTTCAAAAGCGAGAAGACGGGCCATTGGCAGCTGGAAAAAGCTGCCCACCCAATGCAAAGCAAGGCCAGTGAATATGAAATAGCCAACAAATGCTGGAGAGGTGGCCCAGGGAGGTGGGGGGAAGGAAGAGGAAGGAAAAAATACGCTCGTTGAGGTTCCTGGCCTCCAGAAAGATCAGAGGGTCTTCGGAAAAGGAGAACGGCGTCAAGAAATAGAAACAGATGCGTCATCCTGCACACCTGGTTGACAGATGCCTCTACGCAGACAAAGTTTTAGCTCCGAGGGCCAGGATTTTACCTCTCTCTGAGTTGTGACGTGGAGCGCAGAGGCTCCGCCACGTGGGGAGCCTTGAAAGGGTGGGAGGTTGCTCCTGAGCCCCCCCACCCCCCAAATTCGGCCTGGGCAAGCGAGCTTTTACCTGACAAGTTCATCTGCGCAAGCAGCCGCTATTTCCTCCTCGGCTTTCCTCTCGTAGTATTTACAGAGGATGTTCTCAGGAAGCACTTTCTCCAGTTCGGTGGTGGGGAATGAACAGGTGCAGCTCCCTTCCATGCAGCTGAGCTCCGACTGGGTCCAGGGAAGAAGGAGGGAGGGAGGGAGGGAGGACATGGAGGTTACAGGATCGGAGGGAAGGCTGCGCATGTCAGGAGCTGTGGTGGCGCAGTGGTCAGAACGCAGTACTGCAGGCTAAACTCTGCCCCAACTGCCAAAGAGTTCGATACTGACAGGCCGAAGGCTGACCTCAGCCTTCTGTCCTTTTGAGGTAAAACAAGGAGCCAGATTGTTGGGAGGACGATAGGGTGACTCTTTAAACTGCTTAGAGAGGGCTGTGAAGCACGGTGAAGTGGTATTTAAGTCTGGTATGGCTTGGGAAGGAAGGGAAGAAGGAAGGGAAGGAAAAGGAGATGAAGGGAAGGGAAGGAAAAAGAGATGAAGGGAAGGGAAGGAAAAAGAGATGAAGGGAAGGGAAAGGAATGGAAGGGAAGAAAAAAGAGATAAAGGGAAGGAAAGAAAAAGAGATGAAGGGAAAGGAAGGGAAGGGAAGGGAGGCATGTTTCATTACCCAAAATAGATTAACATCATCAGTGCTAGTAATCATCACACTAGCACTGATGATGTTCCCTAGGGCCATGAAATATCTGCAAGAAAACCACCAAGCTCAGAGGCCACCAAGGACCCATAGTCCTTCTCCTTCTCTCCTCTTCCTCTTCCTCAACTCCTCTTATCCCTCTTCCTTCTAGCACTGATGATGTTCCCTAGTTTGGGCAATGAAACACCTGCAAGAAAACCACCCAGGACCCCACAGCCCTCTTCTTCCTCCTCCTCCTGACCTCCTTCTTCCTCCTCCTCGCCACAAATCCAAATCCTCACCTTCCCAGAGCCAAAAACGGCCTCCTGTGCGTATTTGATTAAGCATTCCTTGCAGAACAGGTGTCCGTCAGCACACTGGGTCAGCTCTTCGAATGCAAATTCCCCGTAGCAGCAGCGGCATTCGATCAGCTGGCCATCCTGAAAAGCAGACCCAAAAAAGGGGAGTTACAAAACGGTGACCCCAGGACGTCATAAAATCATGTTGGTTGCCAAGTGCTTGAATGGTGACCGTGTGGATTTTTTGACTGTCGTGACTGCCATCACAGCTCGAGGTAGCCAGAGGGTTTTTTGTGGTTTTTTTTTTTTTGTGTGTGGATAAAGTGAACAATACAATGGGTCAGAGATGCCTTCTGGCTACTTACTTTTTGATACTGCTCCTCATTCATCTGCAGGGCAAGAAGAAAATCTGCATGCTGGCAAGAGAGAAAAGACACAGTTAGCACTGGTAAATAGAGCACTTATCTTTATTAGCGACCAAAAACGCCTTGTTTGTGTAAAAATAAACTTGTGATTTATGGCTCTGGTGATTAGCCAGGATGGATTACAGAAAGTAGCGTGGTACGGCTTTAGAGAGAGAAGTTAAAATATAATTGTATATTGCAAGCGACTTCTTGACGTCTTGGTATCTTTATTTATATCTTGCTGTTTTAATTATTTCTTGCTATTCTTTTCTTACAATCAGTTTTCTTATCAGAAATAAGCTATACGTGGATTATTTTCTGCAGATCACTGGGGGGGGGGGGGGGCGCATCAATCACACCAGGCCTGATTTCCTGCCAATCTGAAGCCAAAATTATTTTATGTGTTCAATTTAGATGCCTTTTAATCTTCGATTGGGAGCCGCAGAGAGTTGGCCGAAAGATGGGTGGCCAGAGACACGTTTTAATGAAAAAAAGAGATGGGTGAAAATTCTGGCAGGCCCAATTCTGTCTGCCACTGAATCTAGAGGACGAGGAAGCCCTGTCTGGTTCCATGTTTAGACACGCAACTGTTTTCCCCCCCACTATTTTATAACTTTAGAATTGTAAATCACCCAGAGTTGCTTGGCTGAGATGGGAGGTTACAGAAATTGAACGATTGAGGAAAAAAATACAAATACTTTTATTTCTGCTTGGAAAGTGCCTCTGGACTTTGTGCTTGAGGTGGCCAAAAAACTGAGACTTTGGTTTTGGGTTTTACCAATTAGATAGATTAGTTGTTATAGAGTTGGCTAGTTTATACTATTATGTAAAAAGTAAAAAAAGTTGAGATTAGATGTTAATGCCTTATTTTACTGCACCAAACTCAATGCCTTTTTTTTAAAAAAAAATTTCCTCTTGATTTCCTCCACTATCCACTTCCCTTTCCCTTCCCAGATTTCCCTACTACTTTTGTATTTATATGCTATATTATAAACTAATAAAAATTGTATATATATAAAAAAGAAATTGAGCGATTGACTGATTGAACGATGGACTGATTGATTGAATGAATGAATGAAAACAAACTTTAAGTGTATCCCACTGAAAATACGAGTTTTTTAAGGCATTTTGCACCGCATTTGCTGTATGTCCAACCTACAGTGCTCAGGCCCTTGATTTTACAGAGATATGTGTGTGCGAGGGGGGAGAAAACAGGCACCCCATTCCCCTCCCACCCAGGGCTTGTAACTACCTCTGCCATCTCTTTGATCTTCTGTTCGTAAAACTCCCTCTCCAGCTGCACAGGGGGTAGAAGGGAGAGCTGGTCATAACTCCTCCAGTGGCGCCTCTTGTTCTCCAAGAAAAACATGCGCTTCTCAATCTTCGTGTCACCTGAAGCGTAGTTTGAAAGTTTGAAAGCATGAGGGGGTTGTTTCAAAGGAAAAGAAAAAGAAAGAAAAAAAAATGAAATGCTTCTCTTAACGAAGGAGACCTTTGTAGAAGAGGCTTCCATAAAGCCAGAACTTTGTAAAAGTAGGTGTGAGAAAATGCAAGTCTAGACTTAGGGAGCCCGTCTGGCAGGAATTGCCCCGGAGTGGGTTTTTCCTTTCTTTAAGGGGAATTATTTAATCCACCAGGATTTGCATGGATGGATTTTGATTCCAGCTGCCCGGGTTGCTTGTTTGCACAGCTTTACTTTGGAGCAAGTGGTAGAAAAATCCGAACTTTTCTTGTGTTTTTTTTTCTTTCTTTGAAGATGTTTTGCTTCTCATCCAAGGAGCTTCTTCAGCTCTGACTGGATGGTGGGGAAGGATTTACACTCCTTGGTCATTTGCATCCTTTTAGAGAGTCCTTAAGGCCACTTGGAGGTTTATCTGCAGCTGTTCCAAGAAGGCTCACCCTCCCACTCAGGGTGACCCTGAGAACACAGATAAACCCCCAAGTGGCCTCAATGACCCTCTAAAAAGGATGCAAATGACCAGCTCTGTCTGCAAGGAGTCTAAATCCTTCCGTTCCCCACCATCCAGTCAGAACTGAAGAAGCTCCTTGGATGAGAAGCGAAACATCTTCAAAGAAAAGCCAGAAAGTCCAGTTGCCTCTTGAAAAAAAAAAGGCACCTTTGAGACAACCAGGAGGGCCTGGAGGACAGAGAATCTCTACAGACTTCCCACCTTAAGATCTCTTAAGAAGAGGCTTTCTCAAACATTCAAGCTGAAACCTTGAAGGGGGAATCACATCTCTCTGGATAAAATCGCCACTTATTTTTATATTCCGCCACCAACAGTTTGACCCACCTCTGCAAAGCCACACACACACACACATACACACAAAGAGAGCACCCTCCAGCAGAAACCACTTACCCTGCTCAAATTTGAAGTCTATGTAGGAATACTGATTCATTTCTTTCCTTCTTTTTCGCTTCCCGCTGGTTTCGGGAGATAACTCTTGCCATTTTTTGATGGCATCGGAAAAGGCCTAAAAGAAGAAAGGGGGGGGGGAGAGAAAGCCGTGAACCCAGATGTGAAGATGGAACCGCAGATGTAAATTTGCAGCTATCTGGAATGGGGAGGATGTAAGTTTGCATGCTACTCTTGAAGGCAGGGAGGCCTCAGGCAACCCACAGACACACACACAAAACCCAGGTGCAGCTGCATCTTTGAAAGGTTGTAAACCAAGTGTCACTTTTTACAGGGCCAGAAGAAAAATATTATCCCTACAACTGGAGAATAAGTCATCTGAAGGTGCAGCTTCTAGGGATGGCTAAATCTTTGATCAAAGAAAAAAAAAACAGAATCTACGTTTATATTTTACATTTATCTGCATTTGTTTATTTACTGGCGGAGGGCAGAGGGGAGCGAGAATGCGTTTATGACTTGTTGCTTCATTGTCACCAGGCTCCAGGTAGGCTCAGCCTTGCGTCCTTCCAAGGTGGGTAAAATGAGGACCGAGATTGTTGGGGGAAAGAGGCTGACTCTGTAAAACTGCTTAGTGAGAGCTGTAAAGCACTGCGAAGCAGTATATAAGTCCAAGTGCTATTTCTTCTTTCCTTCCTTTTCTTTCTTTCTCTCCCTCCCTTTTCTACTTCCTTTCCTTCCTTCCTCACCTACCTACCTCTTGTCCTTCCTTCCTTCCCATGGTGGCACAATGATTACAATATTGCAGGCTAACTCTGCCCACTGCCAGTAGTTCGATCCTGACTGGCTCAAGGTTGACTCAGCCTTCCATCCTTCTGAGGTGGGTAAAATGAGGACCCAGATTGATTGGACGTGTTAGGCTGACTCTGTCAACCGCTTAGACAGGGCTGTAAAGCACTGGGAAGCGGTATATAAGTCCAAATGCTATTGCTTCTTTCCTTCCTTTTCTTTCTTTCTTTCTCTCCCTCCCTTTTCTCCTTCCTTCCTTACCTACCTACCTCTTGTCCGTCCTCCCTTCCTCCCTTCCCATGGTGGCGCAATGATTAGAATATCGCAGGCTAATTCTGCCGACTGCCAAGAGTTCGATCCTGACCGGCTCAAGGTTGACTCAGCCTTCTGTCCTTCCAAGGTGGGTAAAATGAAGACCCAGATTGTTGTTAGGGGCAAGAGGCTGATTCCGTAAACCTCTTAGAGAGGGCCGTGAAGCGGTATACAAGTCTAAGCGCTATTGCTAGTAGCGTTTCCTGCTTTGGGATCTTACCTGGAACTCACTTCAGGCTCTGAGGTAGAGGAAGAACTGACTGAAGTCATAGATAGAATAAAGCAAAGGAAAACTCAAGGTAAATGAAGGTGAAAACTTTCTTTTTTTTTTAGAACGGCATTTGGTCAGTCGGGAATTGTGTGTTCAATACCACCCAAGCTGAGTCCCTCATACACAGAGTGGAGTAAGCAGTAGAGAAATAGATTAATGTTAATAGATTCTGTTCATGTTATGGGCTCTTTAGGCTTTTAATCATTAAGCTGCTGTCTGGGTTGCTCCTGTCCGACTGCCCTGCTCCTGGGAATCGGGTTTTTCGACGCTATTTCTTTCAGCGATGGTTTATTTGTCTGGGAAACACTGCAGACGGTGAAATGCTTTTGAGAAACAGGAAGGAGGTGGCCAGGATGATTCAGATCAATTGAGGATGCTTCCCTCCCGTCCCCTCCCAGTTTCACAGGCTTTTTTCTCTGCTGGTAGTCGTCCACTTACAACCATTCATTTAGTGACCGCTTGAAGTTGCAACAGCACTGGAAAAAAGGGACACCCATTTTTCACACTTAACACGTGTCATATTCATGAACAGGAACAGAGCATGGTCATAAGGTCAGCCAATGAATAGGCATAGTGTTCTGACCCAAACTTGGTTCCAAGAGACACAAGACACACAAGGCACACAAGACAAAGGTCAAGGCACAACCTTTTACTGTTTCATGCACGAATCCTGTTTCTGCACAGATAAAAGGCTGCTTCCAACTAATTAGCTCCGATAACAAAGAGCCTTGCCAAGTTTTGGCAAGTTCTGCCAAGAACAACAGATAAAAGTTCCTAAACAATAAATCAAAGAGTCTCCAAACGCCAACTCAGATATTCTAACATCCACCAGGTGAGTATCAAACTTCTTTGCCTTCTGCAAAGAACTGCAGTTTCTCAGCTGGCTTTAATCTCTTAAGGGAGGGGCCATCACCTTGCAGCCTTACTCCCGAGTCGCCCGTGCTGCTGCAGCTGCTCTTTCCTTCGAGCATCCCTGCGCACATGTGCACTGGGCATAGGCTCCTTGGGCACCTCTTCATCACGGCTGCCAGCCTCCACAATCTCCGAAGGCAGCACTCCACTCCCTGATGGTCCTGGCCCCATCCCTGCATCACACGCAGGCCCCTCATCTGAGTCCTCGCCCTCTGAGACCTCAGCTGTCCACACCTGATGCCAGCAAACACAGGGCAACTAAGTCAGCCAATGAGGACTGTTTGGAAACTGAAACTAGAAGTAGCCTAGGCATGGCTCTATATATTAAGCTCTGCAAAGCTCTGAGTCTGTCTATTGAAAATGAAACTGCTTCTCTCCTCTGCTGTGTCTCTTGCTTGCCTGCTGAACTAAAGTGAAACTGATGTCTGTTTCTGAGCTCCTGAGTTGCTGTTCTGCTCTGAACCTGTAACATGTCTGCTTCATGTTGGAGAAATCTACAACTGGTATTGTAAAATTTACTTTTAAGTGTTTATAAAGAAGTTAAATGAAGCCTCAGCCCTCTGTCTTTACTTTTCTGGTGCTGAATTTACGCTGCAATACTCTGAACAAGGAGAGCTGCAGCCTCCCTGTGGTCACGAGATCAAAATTTGGACCCTTGGCAACTGACTTGTATTTATGACGGTCGCAGCGTCCCAGGGTCACCGGTTCCCCTTTTTGCGACCTTCTGACAAGCAAAGTCAATGGAGGAAGCCAGATTCACTTAACAACCGTGTGACTTACTTAACAACTGCATCAAGAAAGGTCGTAAAATGGGACAAAACTCACTTAACAACTGCCCCGCTCAGCAGGGGACGTTTTGGGCTCAATGGTGGTTGTAAGTCGAGGAGTACCCGTTATCAGAGGAGTTTGAAATTCCGGGCTCCTGAGGGATTTCTTTTGTGAGCCCAGGCCGCGCTTGAGGGGGTGTTCTTAGAAAGGAGAGGGAGAAGCAAGAGGGGAGAAACCTTTCGTGTGATTGCATAGTGTCCCTTGAGTTCGTGGAGTGCCCACTTGATGTCTTGGCTGCTTAGCATTTTGAAGTCAGCCATGAGGAGATCAGCGGCTTGGATGAAGCAACGTTGGTCGAGTGGATCCAGTTTGGAGAAGTCAAAATAGTCCACTTTAGGCACCTAAAGGAGGAAGAGGAGGAGGGAGGAGAAAGAAGAGGAGGAAGAGGTGGGAGGCGGCAGGAGAGAAGGAGGAAGAGGAAGAGAGAGAAAGGAGGAAGAAGAGGAGGGCGGAGGAGGAAGAGAAGGAGGAAGAGGGAGAGAAAGGAGGAAGAAGAGGATGAGGAAGGAAGAGGAGGAAGAGAAGGAGGAAGAGGAGGGAGGAGAGAGTAGAGAAGGAGGAGGAGGAAAGAAGAGGAGGAAGAAGGAGGAAGGCGGAGGAAGAGAATAAGGAAGAGAAGGAGGTGGAAGAGAACGAGGAAAAGGAGGGAGGCAGCAGGGGAGAAGGAGGAAGAGAGAGGAAGGAGGAAGAGGAAGAGGAGGAGGAAGGAAGAGGAGGAGGAAGAGAGAGGAAGGAGGGAGAAGAGGATGAGGGAGGAAGGAAGAGGAGGAAGAGAAGGAAGAGGAGGGAGGAGAGAAGGAGGAAGAAGGAAGAGAAGGAAAACAGAAAATAAGTTAAGGATTATTATTTTTTTACGGTAAACTTTCTTAGGTACACTTTAGAATTTTTAATGCAGTTTTGAAGATGCTTACCGGTAGCCCACAAACTTATGGCTTGCATTTGGCACCAGAATTTCTCTTTCTTAAGCAAAGTGGTTTGTGAAATCAGCCACGCTGGATTTTACAGCCTTTTTCCACCACAGTTGTTAAGCAAACCACACAGGCATTAAGCGAATCCAGCTTGCCCTCTTGACTTGGCTTGTCCAAAGCCGGCTGGGGAGGTTAACACATGGCCGTCACGGGACGCTGCCAACCCTCGTAAATACAGGCTAGTTGCCCGGGGCCTGAATTCTGATCCTGTGACCTTGGGGACCCTGTGACGGACGTAAGTGCGAGGACTGGTCCCAAGTTAACTTTTTTTGCAACTGTAAACTTCAAACAATCACTAAAGAAAAAGGATTGTAAAACAAAAAACAAAAAACAAAGGCCTGCAAAGAGAGGGAAAATTTCAACTTGCCTTTGTCTCGTCTTGGCTGGAAAGCAGGCTGCTATTTGGATTTAAAACCATACTGAGTTCCTTCTTTGGGTAGTCTGGATTTTCCAGAAGAAAATTACAGAGTCTGAAAAAGCAACAAGGAGACAAGGACCCTTTGGAAAAAGAGCTGTCTTTCGGAGAACAACCCCTGGCCCACCCATCAAACATTTAAAAAGTTTAAACCAAGGGTCTTCCAACTTAGCAAGTTTAAGACTTGTGGACTTCAACTCCCAGAATTCCTGAGCCAACGTGACTGGGGGAGGAATTCTGGGAGTTGAAGTCCACAAGTCTTTTAAAGCTGTCAAGTTTGAAGACCCCTGGAATAGATAGATAGGGAAAGAGAGGTAGAATAGATATACACACTTGGGAGGACGCCAGAACTCAGATAAGACTTGACAAACCAGAATAATTTCACGCTTTGCTTCCAGCAACTTTGCGTGCAGTTTGCCCTTTTAAACAGTCTTCCCAGCTGAAGCCAATTGAAGGGGATCAGGGCTCTTTCCTCCCCCATAAACCATGTAACTCACGTTGCTCCCTTATCCACTCCTCCCTAGGATGAAGAGGGGGTGGGCCTGGGTCTTCCTCTGAATGCCCAGCCGGACTGTGCCCTTCCCCAGTTTCCAGCCACTGGAGCCACACCCCCACTCCCTGTCAGCTGTTCCACCTCTCCCTCAGAATCAGAGTCCAACAGGGGCATGACAGAAAGAAGGTTATGATGAGAGGGAAGGAGGGTCTGAGGGAAGCTGACTTAGCACATGGCCACCACAAGTGTCCCCAACACGAGTGACGCTGAGCTGGCCATGCCCACCCCTGACCACGCCCACCCCAGGTCAAACACAACCCTGATGCGTCCCTCAATGAAATCGAGTTTATGACACCCCTGGCCTAGACCAAAACAAACGGTTCAGGCGAGAGAGCCGAGACACGACGTCAGAATCATCTTTTGTTGGGTTGCAAGGAAGGGAAGTTCACCATAAGCTTTGGGGGTTCTGTGCCAGGGCTGGTGGTCATCTGTTGGTCTGAGGACGACACGCCAGGCTTTTTGTACTTACATGTTTAAGTCGCTGCAGTTTTTGCTCTGTATCAGCTCTTCGATGTACTCTCTCGTTGCGTCTGGAAACCTGGCTTCCTAGAAAAAGAGGAAGGGGTGTGTGTGAATCCTTTGGGCACCCCAGCCATTCAAGGAATGGCTAGCTTGTTGCCCGTCGAATGTTATCAGGCGTTACCGGGCACGAGGTGTCAGAATGACGCCCTGAGCTGATCAGAAAAGTATCTTTATTGATACTGATCTATTTACAACAATCTCGCCCAATGGAATTACAGAATAACCAGCGTGGGAAGGGACCCTGGAGGTCTTCTAGTCCAACCCCCTGCTCCAGCAGGAGACCCTATACCATTTCAGACAAAGGGGCTGTCCAATCTCTTCTTTAAAAACCTCCTGTGATGAAGCATCCACAATTTCTGGAGACAAGTCGTCCCCACTGTCTCACGGACAGGAAATTTCTCCATAGTTCTAGATTGGATCTCTCATGGATACGGGTTCTTGTCCTGCCCACAGGTGCTTTGGAGAATAGCTGACTAAACTCTCTTGGGAATAATAGCAATAGCACTTATATACCGCCTCACAGTACTTTATAGCCCTCTTTAAGCGGTTTACAAATATTATATTACCCCCAACAAACTGGGTCCTCATTTTATCTATTTTATCAACGGTTGGGAAATGAAGAAATAAGTTAAAAGCGAGTAGATGAACATACAGAGAAATAAGTTAAGATCGCCATAAAGATAAAATATGTAAGCGACAATGGTTCATAAAGAAAATGTGATTACTGATATTTTGGCAAGGAAAGTATGTTAATCATAATTGTTAGCACAAGATATATGTACCCGGTCAATACACCGTTTAAGTGAAAGATGGACTTGTTATAAATATAAAATAAAAATAAAACCTGAAATTAAAGAAAAGAAAAGACCTACCGTTTCTCGGGTGAGTAGCACAAAGAGATCTTTGTCCAACAGGGTAGCCGTCTGTTTGGGAAGCTCACCGGTGCTGGTATCCAGCGACCCTTGGACTGGGAACGCTGGCCCAGCCTGCTCGTTTATTGCCGCTGGCTGGCCTCCATTTTCCTCTGGCGGGTGAGCAAGTTGAGGGGAAGCCGGCCCTGGGATCCCATCCTGCTGAGGCTCAGGCCTGGGGAAAGCCGGCCCGGGGATCTCTCCTTGGTAAACCCTCGGCAAAGGTCCCAGCTCTCGTTCCAATGGTGCTGGCTGAGAAGGAAGAGGGTGGACCCCAGTCCGTGCCTCATTCTTCGCCGGCTGGAAGTACGGATGATCCAGCCGCATGTTCTGCTGGGCGCAGTGGGAAACCCTTCCGAGGTTGGGCGCTGGCCGTGGCGGGAGTGTCCGATCTCGTTCGCCTTCTTGGTTGTTGTCCTGATTGGCCCCCACTTCCTCCAAATTAATGACCTCCGGGACAATGTCTCTCTTCTGAGCCACGCTGGGCCCAGCCTCGGTGCCCCTCACTTCCCCGGGGTCTGCAGGATCCGGAGAATCGGGTAACTCCAAGACCTCGGTCTGGCTCGCGCTTGCTCTCGCACTTCCCGTCTTCAGGCCGTTCCGGCGGGTCCCCGGCAGCCTCGGAGAAGTCGGGGTTTTGGCCTTCTGGTCTTTGTGAGGGAGGGCCACCACCTCGCCATTAGATCCTCCTTCCCCCGTCTTGTTAACGACTTGCCAGGGAGCGGCGGGCTTGATGACGTTGGGCCGCAGGAATTTCTTGGTGGCTGTCTTTACAAGGAGGCAGAGAGAGGAATTAGACCCTAACCTAGAGTTTCTAGGGGCTAGATCAGGGGTCGGCAACCCACGGCTCTGGAGCCACATGTGGCTCTTTCATCCCTCTGCTGCGGCTCCGTCGCCGGTCGGCACCACAGTTCATAGGGCTTTCAGTTGGGACGGGTGGAGGAAAAAGGATGCCGCACTAGGAGGGGAGACTCTTTGGTGGGGGAACCAGACTTCCGGTCATCTCCAGAATTTAACGGGGGGCTTCCGGTGGCTCTTTGGGTATATAAGGTTGCCAACCGCTGGGCTAGACCTAAAATTCCCCTTTCTAGGCCACAGAAGGTCTTTAAGCTGCCTTTGAACGCTAAAAAGTAGCACCATGTCTATGGAGATTCTCAGTCATTCAGGTCATGGTTGTCCCAAAGGCGCTTTTTCCAAGAGGCAACTGGACTTTCTTGCATTTCTCTGAAGACATTTCCCTTCTCATCCAAGAAGCTTCTTCAGCTCTGACTGGATGGTGGAAACAGAAGGATTTATTTTCCTTGCAGACAGAACTGGTCATTTGCATTCTTTTAGGTCGATGTTGAGGCCACTTGGAGGTTTGTCTGTGCCCTCAGGGTCACCCAAGTAGGGCAAATGGCTATGGAGCCTTCTTGGGACTGTTGAAAGGCCTGCGTTGTAGAGCTGTGCTGCATCCATTTGCACGACTCAGGTGGCCCTGAGGGCACAGACAAAGCCCCAGGTAGCCTCAACGACTCTGTTAAAAGAATGCAAATGACCAGCTGTCTTCAAGGAATATAAATCCTGATTATCTTATATGCTATCTCATCTTAGCCATTCTCATATTGGTTAGAAAGGTTAGCTGTCAGAAATATGAGTAGTTCTCAACTTAAATCCAGTTGCTTAGCGACCATTTGAAGCTACAATAGACCTTGGAAATGGGAATTACAACTCCAATTCGGAGTTCTGATCACCAGGTTCCCCTGAAGTCACGTGACTGCATTTGGGGGCGCTTGGCAACTGGCCTATATTTGTAGTCATAAGATGGCAAAACTTAAATTATGGCCATATGCTGAGGACTATGTGTATACCATTTGTGCTGCTGTGGGATGTTTGAATAAAAGGCGTTTTCTAAACTCTGTTTATTTCGCAGGACTGCAAATCAATCTTTACGTCCCAAAAGGGAATGACAAATCTATGCTACCTGGATATTCTAATTTCCTCTGGAACCAAACGAAACAAAAATTCCCAGCTGCACAGAAAGCGCAACCTTGCTTGCGGCAGCCCTTTCAAATTATAACTTTGACCTTGTGGTCAAACAGCTCCTCCTTGTCAAAATGTGCTGAAATCTCTCAGAGGAAAGAATAAAAAGCGGCTGGGATGCATAGAATGAATTTTAGGTAATAAACCTCTCATCAGCTTGAAGAACATTTAAGGAGCTGGAAAACAGCAATCTGGCATTTAAAGAAGGCAGGGGAAAAACTGTACTTTGCTTTTAAGCCTTGGGATATTTCTCAAACCTTGCAGCTGGTTTACACACCTGACCATTTTGCTTGAGGTTTAGTGCAAAGTGCGACCCCCACCAATTGTAGCCGATGCACTGCACTGTAGTTTAATAATTAAGGCTTAGCTGCAGTTATTAGTACAAGATAAACCCAATTTTAGCTGCAGACTATTTGGAAAACGTACAAAAACCAAGTTTGAGAAGCTCAGAGTAATCAGGAGTTGTGAAACTCATCGTTGGAAACAATGCTCAACTCCTTCACCAAACTGCGAGAGAAAGAATGGGGCCTTTTGGGGAACTGTTTTCTGCACTGTTGAAAAGGTGCTTTTTGTTTTTGTTTTTTGTTTTAAAGAAAATATCATGGAGAAACTTGTAATTCTTTTTCCCTTTATATTTCAAGAAGCCCCATAAAATTTAATCATGCAGGTTTATGGAAAGTCAACCCAAGACATTTCAGAAAGCCAACAACCAGAATTGATTTGCCAAAGGTCCGTTAGCAAGACCATACCGGATTTGGGCAGTTTTATAACAACCACAAAACAACAACTGAAAGGTTGATGATTTGCAAGCAGTATAGTTAACAGTAAGTTCTCTGGCCTGCTTTTGCCAGAACAAGAAGGGGGGAAAAAAATTCCACCGAATTGATTAAAAAAATAGCAACATTTAATGTGTCTGAATATATTAAAAAAGCAGTTTGTTGGATTAATAAAATAGCAACATTTAATATGTCTGAATATATTAAAAAAGCAGATTGCGTGAGCTGCGTTGTCACATTATTTATTGATTAAAAACATTTATATGGCCGCCCAACTCACTCATGGTGACTCTGGGTGGCTTACAGAAATCAAACCCCAATGCAAAAGCCAACAACCCTCTGCTCCCCAGTTCCACAGTACCAACATTCAAACTAACCATTTGACAGCAACAGCAACAGCCCTTAGACTTATATACTGCTTCACCAGTACTTCACAGCCATCTCTAAGCAGTTTATAGAGTCAGTCTCCTGCCCCCAACAATTTGGGTCCTCATTTTACCCACCTCGGAAGGACAGAAGGCTGAGTCAACCTTGATGGGCTCCGTATCACCTTGGGATCCCCAGACTTGCAGGCAAAAATCACATCTTTGAGGCCGTGTTTATTGGCTATTAAAGGCTGATCGTCCCGTAACTGGAACACGGAAAAGGGAGGACTTACCTCCATCAAGATGACCACGTCTTCATCATCCTCGTCTTCCCACTGCAGGTTAACAGGTGTGTCCAACATCACAGGCAAGTCTTCGTCCGAGGAGTCCGATATCGTGATGAGTCCCTCGTCTCGGTGGTTAACCCTATCTGAAGGAAGGACCAGCCCATCAGCCAGCTGAAGGTTTGTAGCAGCTCGTAAATATGCACGAGGTCCGTCCGTCCGACTCCAGACCAAAATATGCGGCCCGAGTTTGCACAGAAATAAGACAGGAGGGGAAATCCCAGGGCAGAGGTGGCCTGTGGACTTCAACTCCCAGAATTCCTTGCGCAAGGCACTTCACCAACCACCTTACTTCAGTAGCAGAAATTCTGGTGGCCAGAAGCTGAGAACTACCTGAGAACTTACCTTTCCCTCGATGGCTCCGGAAACTATTCAAGTCGATTACTTCTTTCTGACCTCCGTCTTCCATGTTAGAAGGTTACGCACCTGGGCATGACATCCACTTTTGTCAGGAGCCCCTGGAAAAGGCAAAAGGACCGTTGGACCCCACGGCTTTGTGTGAGCTTGTGACTGCAGCCTCAGGAGCAAGGGCCCTTAAGACTTATATACTGCTTCACAGTGCTTCCTAGCCCTCTCTAAGCGGTTTACAGAGTCAGCCTCTTGCCCCCAACAATCTGGGTCCTCATTTGACCCACCTCGGAACGATGGAAGGCTGAGTCAACCTTGAGCCGGTCAGGATCGAACTGCAGTGGGCAGAGACTCTGCAGTGGGCAGTGTCAGCCTGCAACATTGCATTGTAGCAAGTGCACCACTATTCCTTCCTCCCTTCCTTCCCTCCTCCCTACTTTTTTCCTTCCTTCCTTCCCTCCTCCCTCTTTCCTTCCTTCCTTCCCCCCTCCCTCCTCTTTTCCTCCCTCCCTCCCTCCCTACTCTTTCCTTCCTTCCTTCCTACTCTTTTCCTTCCTTCCTCCCTCCCGACTTTCCTTCCTTCCTTCTCTCCTCCCAATTCTTTTCCTTCCTTCCTTCCTTCTCTCCTCCCTACTCTTTTCCTTCCTTCTCTCCTCCCTACTCTTTTCCTTCCTTCCTTCTTTCCTTCTCTCCTTCATTCCTTCCCTCCTCCCTAGTCTTCCCTCTTTCCTTCCATTTTCCACACCTCATAATCCTCACAGCATCAAAGCCAAGGGGGAAGGCAAGGCACTTAACGGCTTAACAACTGCAGCGATTCACTTAACGGTGGTAAGAAAGGTTGTAAAACGGGGGCGAAACTCAAACAAATGTCTCATTTAGCAACGGAAATTTGGGGCTCCCTTGTGGTCGTAAGTCAAAGACCACCCATAGCTGTGATTCTAAAGCGCGCACACACACACACACACACACACACACACGAAACAAACCTCATTTATTACAACCACTGTTTCCGCTCCAATTTTGCCAGCCTCAACGAGCTTTAACCGTCTCTGCCTTCACTCCCTCTTCCTAGCCACAGCTGCTAAAAAAGGCTTTATGCAATGACTTTTTTTGGGGGGTGGAGTGGTGGGATGGTTTCCTCCTCCAGGGATGTGTTTGGTGTCCGTGGTTGTGTGGGCGTGTATGAGTGGGGAAGGCTCAATGCGAAAACAGAGAGGCTATAATTGAAATACAACATATGGATCTGAAACAGAGGTGGCAGGACTGCACAACAAACGGCTCGGCTGGGCAACACACACGGCTGGGCCCTTCCAGCTACGCTCTCCTTGCCAAAAGCCTGCAGCAAAACTTCTACTCAAGAACTGTTCCATGACATCAGCCCATCGGCAGATTCCAGGCACGCCGGTTGCAAGAGACCAGCAGAGACCAGCATCTGTTTGGGTGTAAATAAAATCCTTTCGAGGCAGAGAACAGAGAGCCAGGCACAGGTGGGGCCATAAATATAAAAGAGATGCATCCACCAACCTTTATCTGTCTCTTTCTTCTTCTTTTTTTCTGGAATACGCGCAGAGGGGACTTTTTAAAGGGGGGGGGGGGGGGGAAAAACCTTGATTCGTTGGGCCATGATTGAAAAACATTTCAACACCAACCAGTCGAAGGAAGTTGCCAGGGTTGGATTCAGGATCGATTATCCTGAATGCAAAAAATTTCCCTTTAACGAGAAACCCAAACTGGTTCCAAAGAGGCCCTTGCAACAGATGCCTTCTGAAAGGAACAGAAAGTTCAAGAGGACACAGTTCAAGAATCTTTCTTGGGACAGCAGCTCGCGACTTCCTCCGGAATCTAAAGTGCGGACAAACCCATCTTTTAGAAGGGTGAATCGAGGATCTGTTTCTTCTATCGGCACAGAGGGGGAAAAAAATCAATCCCAGCTTGTGCAGATGATCCAGAATAAAGAGTTTAAAGTTTATTTAAATAAACAACCTGTTAAGCTGGGACAACAAAACCTCATCTTTATATATTTATATTTATAATTTATTATATAAATTATAATGGCATTCAGCTTTGTTCGGGTATTTTCCCCACATCATTATAGTTGTGCTTTTAAAGTTGTAGCAACGTTTCGGCAGAATCTCATCTGCCATCATCAGGCTTCTGTATTGTGTTCATCGAATTGAAAAAAGACCGGAAAGCATGAATAGAAGAGATGATCCCACCAGACTGTCAATTATTTGGAAGCCTGCACTCACAAACAAAAAAATCTCCACACCACAAGCCAGGCAAACACCTGGGCACAAACAGATCCCCCCTGATACCTCCAGCTCAAACACACCCCAACCCGGCACCCAGATGAAACCTAGCTTCCTAACAAATGATAGCCGTCCATTTACTTGGAGCCAAGCCACACTAAAGCCTCCAATACAGGAACACAATGTTGCCAGCCAATCAAGACACAAAAAAAGCCACAAAACAGGCAGAAGATATTAGAAACACCAATCAAGCAGAACACAGCAAACTCCAAGACCAATAAACACAGACCAAGACTCCCAACCAATCAGGATGAAGAAAAAACCATTCTGGCACAGCAATAGGCTGCCCCAAATTTAAAACCGAAACAACTGTAAATGTCTGACTCACAGACGAACACGATACAGAAGCCTGAGGATGGCAGATGAGATTCTGCTGAAACGTTGCTACAACTTTAAAAGCACAACTATAATGACGTGGGAAAATACCCGAACAAAGCTGAATACCATACATAGATACCCGTGAAAACTTAAGAAAACATATATATATACTATATATATATGATTATGAATATCTATATCTATCTCTATCCATCTATCTATATATCTGTCTATGGAGGGGGGAAGTCCCAAGAGATTAATACATTTCAAAGACCAGTGGATTTCCAACTGGTGGCACCTTTAAGACTTGTGGACTTCAACTCCCAGAATTTCTCAGTCAGTATGGCTGACTGGGGAATTCTGGGAGTTCTGGAAGTTAAAGTCCATGAGTCTTATAAATTGCCAAAGACCCCTGACATAGACCAAAACCAATTCAGTGTTTGGATGTTTCAAATTAGATCAAAGTGCGGCCCTGGGGAGACTCAGGTTAAAATCTACGCTGAGCCATAGAAACTCACTGGGGTGACTGAGTTGTTTCCTTTCTCTTTGCCCAACCCAATTCATGAGCTGCCTTTGTGAGATAAAAACTAGTACACTGCCTGGAGCAGGACAGAAACCTAACAAATAAATATGCACAAGAGTGCCTCCCTGAAAAAAAGCAGCATGCTTGAGATACAAGTGGCAGGAGACAAGCAGGCTGAGCTGGAAGGTGGGGTTAAATGTGTTATCAGTTTGGAATCATTATGTAGACACAAAAGACCCAAGTCCTGCCCACACCTGAATTCCACTGAGCCTTACCCAGCATCCATTTGGCTGGATGGGTACTAGACCAGATTCTTGTCTATAGGTAATATTTAATAAACTTTAAGTGCTTTTTTGAACTCAACTCCTGTTCCTGGTAACTTGCACCTGACCACAAGTAGACTACTAAACACGTTTTTCTGCTGGGCATCATTTTTACATGCCACGATTATTCTCTGATGCCCTCAAATATGCCAGACACCAACATTACAACTGAGAAAAAGCTGCCATGCTTCCAAAATGATCACACACTGCTGATTTTACATTTCATGCGGTGCTTCTCCAGCCTGGGTAAATTTGCCCAAAACTGAATTGAAAGTAACAAGACCCCCTACCCATTATGATAAGGGCATTTCTAGGAAGTTGAAAGTTGACGAAGTTACCAATGGTAATATGGCTTTTAATAACGCAGGTAGTCCTTGACTTACGACCACAATGGAGCCCCAAATTTCTGTTGTTAAGCAAGGCATTTGTTAAGTGAGTTTTGCTCCATTTTATGACCTTCCTTGCCATGGTAGGTAAGTGAGTCGCCCGGTTGTTAAGTGAATCCGGCTTCCCCTTCGACTTTGCTTGTCAGGAGGTTGCCAAAGGGGACCACGTGACTGCAACCGTCACAAATGTGAATCAGTTGCCAAGCTGTGAGTTTTGATCCCATGACAACGGGGATGCTGCAACTGTCGTAAGGGTGAAAACGGTCATAAGTCACTTTTTTTTTTTGCTGCCGTTGTAACTTTGATTGAACTGTCACTGAGCGAACTGTGGGAAGTCAAGAACTAACTGCCTGCGGTGTATTTACTAACACAAAGAGCAACGACTTACCAATGTCACATTCACAGCTGCATCTATGGCAGTGACAGCTAACCTTTTCCACGCCGCATGCCAAAAGTACGCTTGCGTGCACACGCTTGTGTGCAATGACTCCCCCCCACCCCTGCGTGCACAACCCCCCACACACACACACACCTCTGCCACTTCCGGCAAGCATGCCATGGGTTCGCCATCCCAGATCTAAGGTCTGTAGAGCTTAACCACATATATACAACCAAATACCCAAGGCGAAGGAAAGAAAACCACTCATATCCCACAGCTACAAAGCTGGGACTAGAAAATTCCTACAAACCATCTCAGTTGAGTCCATTTTGTCCAAGTTATTCTCACAACAGGCAGCAGACAATGTTGTGATCTGCCCTGCCTCTCACCCCAACCCCACCAAATTCCTGGCTGTTATCTTCCTGCCCCCCCCCATCCCATAATAGTTCAGATGGGCAGGCTGCCTTGTGTTTTCATTGCACACCAAACGAGATCTGCAGGTAAAGGGACTTTGTCCCTGCCAGCAACCACAAACCAGGAAATTTATTCTCGTAATCCCCACGAACAGCTTTCCAAGGAGAAGCAAAGACTGCCTTGGGGGGGAGAGAAGGGGGGGCTGGGTGGGGGAGAGGAAGAGGAGCTTGTGGGGTGGAGGGGGGAGAAAACATAAAGGGGAGAGAACAGGTGGGAGAGAGAAGTTAAAAGGGAGAGTTGGAGGGGCCATTCCATAAATGGAAAAAGAGCAATATGGTTCGGAGGACGAGCAGGCCATGTGGCTGAAAAAATATGTAAAAAAACGAACACAGGGATTTGTTCAAGTGATAAGCCACATTTACATTCAAGTGGACAAACCCTAATTAAAACCCCAAAAGGTAAAGGAAGGCAAATGTTAATGAAGGATTAAAACCCAGTTTATTTTTATTTATTTTTAAAAAGTAGTTTTCTGGAGATTTCCTACATTCAACTTGAAGGATTTGGAAAATCCATGAGGCATTTTGGCCTGAAGGGTGGAGAGGCAGGCCTTCACACTATTTGGCCCTTAGGCTGTGACGATTTCGCAACCGAGCCCGAAATTTATGCCGTTAAATGAAGTTTTGCCCCGGGGTTATACTTTTCTTGCCACCTCGGCTAATGGAACCACTGCCGTTGTTAAACGAGTCACACGGTTGTTAAAGTGAATCTGATTTCCTCGCTGACTTTGTCGGGAAGGTGGCAAAATCCCGTGACTCCGGGAATACTGCCACCGTCGTAAAGGCGAGTCAGCTGTCAAGCATTCAAATGCCAACCCAACGGTCGTTAAGTGTGAAAAATGGTCCTGAGTCCCTTTTTCCAGCGCCGTCGTAACTTTGAACAGTCACTAAACGGACTGCTGTAAGTTGAGGGCTACCTGTATTGTCTTCAATTAGGGAGGGTGAAGCCACGATTTCAGACCCCCCCCAAGTCATTTCGGGACTGCAGAATCCCTCGGGAATCACATAGCAAATGTGCCGGGAGCAAATTCCAATATACACAATAAAGACTTATTTCCAAGAAAAGCCAGCCAGCACCAATTTAGCCAGCAAAGAAAGTTTAGAAAGGATAAAAGGTCCAATGGGGGAAAGAATTAGGATGCCAATAAACATAGAAAGTTAATTTACAGCAGGCCAGAGCACGTCTGGGTGGCTCTTAAAAAAACCCAGAAAGAGACTCTTGTCTTGCTTAGCCCCAGGGTGAAAAGCAGCAGGATTTGAATCTGAGACTGTCCTGCTGTTTATAGAGAAACAGGTGCTGGGCCCATCCACCAGATGCCCTCCCCTCTCGAAGGCCTTGCAGGGTGGGGACCCCAGAAGCGACATGCCAGGAAGGGGGAAGAGAGAGGCCGACGGACATCCTAAAAGGGGGCAATGCTGTTGAAAATCAAGCAGCAAGAATTAGGGGAAAGCAAAGGAACCAACCAGCAAAATTCACAAAGCGGAAGAGAAAGTGAAATGGAAAGGAGATGGCATTAAGGAAGGGGGGGTTGTCTTTTTCCCCCCATAAGGAAGAGAGAAAGCAAGTTAAAAAGGGGCACCGCTTGGAATGGGGGTGGAGGGAGAGAGGGGGAGAAAGGAGGTGAAATTCAGGGTGCTGAGCCCACCTGTCTATCAAAGGAGGATGGAGGAGGAAAACAACCTGAGGAGGGGGGGGACAGCATTTTGGGAGGTGATTAAACATGGGGGGAGAAGGAAGGAGAGGCAAACCTCTTAGGGAAGGAGGAGTGGTGGTGGGAGA